AGTTCAAGAGATCCTCAGAGGGATGGGTTGAAACCAGGGTTGTGTGCTTCACAGTTTGAGAGTTGTGGGTGCTCCTCAGATGATTCTGAGACTTTGAGAATGAATTAAATGTTTTGAGAAAGCTTATGAGATGCTTTGATAGCCTTCATGAAGCCCAGAGAAGTCATTATGCAAGAATTCAGAAGATTCAACCATGAATGGTAGAATTAGGGTTTTGACTGGGTCAACCCTAGATCAACTGAAGATTTGGAGAAGGTTGAGACTTAATCCAAGGGCCATGAGATCATGGAATGATGCATAGAGATTATATAAAGATGATTCCTAGACCAACTCACCATGAATGAGGAGTTTGAGAAGTTTGAAGTTAGGGTTTCTGAGGATTGTCAGTGAAAAAACCCTAATTTGACCCCTATCTTCCAGGCAGTTTTAGCTATAGATGTGATTGAGATCTCATCTTCCCCACAACATGAATGTTGTAGAGCTTGTTCTAAGCTTTAATTTGAGTGGTGGAAGTCCTTGATAGGAGTTACAGAGCTCAAGTTGTGGTTTTGACAAATTACAGGTCAGTTGATGTGTGTGAATCTGGGTCCTTGAAAGTCACCCAACTTCCAGACAACTTTTGCCCTAGTAGGTTGATTCCTATGGTTTCTTGGTCAACATGAATGTTGAAGAGGATCTTCTTAGCTTTAATTTGAGTGGTAGAAGTCCTTGATTGGATTTGTGGAACTCAACTTATGGTTTGAACAAGGCAGGGGCATTTTGGTCATTTGTCAGTTATAGGTCATTTTATCCAATGCCTAAAACTCCTATTTCCAAGCCTCAAATGGAAAAACTCAAAACATGAAAGTTGCTCAAAATGTGATTTTAAGTCTAGAAAGAAGGTCACAAATTGTTGAAAAGGCTCATAGCACAAGATTCCATGATTGGTCAAAAATGAACTAAAAATGACTTATAACTTTGAAAAGTTGAAATTGAAAAGTGTTTTGGAAGATCTACAAATCCAAAATAGGTCATCCAATATATCATTTTGATTGGAAAAAACATTTTGAGAAGATTGGTTTAAGTAGAATTTTCATTTGAGGCTTAAAAGATGAGGTTCCTTTGGAAATTTGTTACTTAAGAAAGAAGGCAATGTTAGAAAACCCTACATAAGCAACAAATACACTTGTTTTTCACTCATCCTCATTCAATAACTCACATAAGGACATTTTGAGACCAAATTGAAGGCTTGAAGCATGGGAGATGAGATAACCAACTTCTCATTCAAGGAGAAATTCATGAAACTTCCACATCATTCTAGATGAATCTAGAGACTTCCATGGATTGTTATAAAAAGAGTGCATTATGGAGAGTCTAAGGTTGGTGAAAGTTGAGCTAAGTCAGAGGAGAGAGAAGGATACATAGCCATTGGAGGAGTTTCTTCAAGTTGAAGCAACTTGAGTTTTCTTTCACTTCAAGCCACCACCTTCACAACAAGTGCAAACAGAAGTTTCTTCACCATTGTAGGATCTCATTGAAGCCATTTCAAGACCTGCAACCACCTCCACGAGCCTCACCATCATCTTCTTGACAGGTTCCTTCTTCACCCTATATCTCTTAAATTATTGCAGTTTAATTAGTTTTATAGCCATAAGAATGATGTACTAGGCTAGAGGATCCATCCCTGAGAGTTATAGCATGTTCCATGAGGATCCATAACAGAACCAGAAATCTTTGAGTTGCAAGAACTATGTAGATTGTTAGTTTTAATCATCAAGAATTAGTGTGTATTAGTTAGGGTAACGTGTAGTGCATCTGTAGACTTTTAGTTTTGAGTTTGATGAAGTTTGATAGCAGTTGAATATGGTGGTGCCATGGTGTTGGTGCTTTCTGTTAGAACAATCTAGGGCAAATTGGTGAAAACTGTACGTAGGGTTGTGTAGGGCTTGAGAAGTAGATGATTTTTCATGTTTAGGTCGAGGGAAGCCGTGGCCTGTGGGGAGAGATAATGGAGCTCGAATGTATGAGTGCATGAGAGAGGGTTCTGCAAAACCCTAGTTCGTTTGAAGACGATGAGGGAGCGCCGTTGGATCAAATCCAATGTTTGACAAATTCACCTAATCTAACGGTCGCGCGCGTGTCTGAGTTTGGAGGGAAGATTTGAATCTAAATGAAACGCAGCCGTTTCATTAAAGACCGCTTCTGGGCCTATAGCGCTACTTGCACCCCCCTTTTTGTGTAGCCCAATTCATTTAACTAGTCTGATGTGCTAGTTGCGCCCCCCCCCCCCCCCCCCCTCCTTTAATTAATTCATTTCTTTTTAATTTTCTTTTAATTTTGTCTGTTTTGAATAATTCATTAAAAATAGTTAAAAAATGATTTTTAATTGCTTCTTTTTTCTATGAGTAGATTAAAATGAGTAGAAAATTATAAAAATAAAATTGAGATTTTATTTTTAGGTTCAATATTTTTAATAGATTTTCCAATTAAATAGCTTTTTAATTGTTTCATTTTGATATTTGATTTTGTAGGAATTATTTTAGGACATTCCCTTAGGTTTTTTTACCCATTCTTTTTTATGCAATTAGATGATGAGTCATACTTCCCCATAGGATTTTTTCTAGATTTTTTTAGAATTAATCTTGGTTAGTTTAATTAGGGTAGACTTAGGATAGTCTAATTAGGGTTTAGGATTGTGCATAGGTGATGATCCCTTTCTTTGATTGAGTCTTATCTTGATTTTTAGGTAGAAACCTTTATAGATGTTATGAGTAGGTGTTGAGGACCCTTGTGAATATTTGTTAGATTTTTCCCCATTAGTTTAATATTTTTAGGTATTATCTGAAGATTGCCTGATGATTTGGTTTGTTCAGTGGGTTATCTGTTCATCTGTGGGGATCTTTCTGAGGAATTTGCTGAAGGGCTTGTGTTGCCTTGAGGATATTGATGGGGAGCATCATGAAGAGGAGCTTGTAGACCAAGATGCAGAGACCCAGAGCTTGTCTCATCTCCTGTCTGTGAGGTTTGAGAGTCTGAAGTTTGAAGGAAGTTCATGGTACTTTCCTGAGGAAGGCACTATGAATGACTTTCATTCTTCCTTCTCACCTCTTTCTTAAGTATCCAATGATGTTGGAGCCAACTTGTGAGTTTAATTTCTCCTGAGGAGGAATGTAAACTGATCACATGTTGTTGAGCCACATGGGATACAACTCCTAAGTGGAAGCCTCCTAGTACTTTCCTGAGGAAGGTCCTATGGGTCTATTCACTTAGTTCCACTAGTTGATCTAGGATTTCTCAAGTATCCAATGATGTTGGAGCCAACTTGTGAGTTTAATTTCTCCTGAGGAGGAATGTAAACTGATCACATGTTGTTGAGCCACATGGGGTACAACTCCTAAGTGGAAGCCTCCTAGTACTTTCCTGAGGAAGGTCCTATGGGTCTATTCACTTAGCTCCACTAGTTCATATAGGATTTTCTAAATATCCAGTGATGTTGGAGCCTGCTTGTGAGTTTAATCTCTCCTGAGGAGGGATGTAAACTGATCACAGTGGTTGAGCCACATAGGGTATGATTCCTGAGTATACACCTCCTAGTGCTTTCCTGAGGAAGACACTATGAGTCTGATTGCTTAGCTCCCTTTCTTTGGTAAGCTTATTCTGAAGCTTGAAGACTGGGAATGATTTCTCTTGTTTAGGTTTTTGCCTGAGGGCTTTGCTTAGATTTGTTTAGATTCTGTGATTAGGATTAGAGAATAGGTGATTCTTTCTCAAGTGTGTTTTGTTTACCTGATGGTACTTCCTTTCCTTTATCTGGTTCATTGCTTGATAGCATGTTGTTTATTTTCAGTATGATTACTGTTATTTCATGACTGGCTTGAGGTTGAGATGAGCTTGTGGAGGCTGAAACCCCACACACATTTCCTCCCTCACTTGCATTGCATGCATTTTACTGTTAAAACTGATGTTTTTGTCTGTATTCTGTGTATCATTGATATGATCCCTTAGGACTCTCATTTCTTCTGATGAGGACTTGATGATAGACTGTTAGGTTGAAACCCATGCATGATAACATCTAGGAGCTCCCTGTTCAAACCTCAACCATAGGATGAATCCATGGCATGATAACAGACAGGACTTGATAGTCTCCCTCCTAGTTGAGCCACTTTTTCCCGTAGTTTCCCGAACTACGTTTGCTCTGATCTTTCATACCAGATGAAAGTACGTAGGCATAGGATGCGACATCCTAGCGAGCAACCTTCCCCATCTTCACCCGTAGTTAGCCGAACTACGTTGACTCTGATTTCTCATTCTCTGATGGGAATACGTAGGCATAAAGTGCGACGCTTTGCCGAGTCATTTTTCTTTTCTTTTTCAGCCAGCCTTGATAGGTAGATAGATTATAACTAACCCGTCCAAGTAAACAAACAAGCGAGGATCCCGTCGAGTACGACGGACGTGAGGGGTGCTAATACCTTCCCCTTGCGTAACCGACTCCCGAACCCAGACAATGGTTGCGATGACCTTGTCTTACCCTTTTTCGTCAGGTTTTTCCGATCGTTTCCTTTCCCGCTCTGAGGGATAAATAACGAAAGGTGGCGACTCTTCTGTCATGCCGGCACCTTATTTTTCGCGCAAGCGACAAAAGTGTATTCTATATAATTTATGTATCGCCAACTTAAAGTTCAAAGAAATGGAGAGATTTTGTATGCTCAACTCTGCCATCATAGGCATGAAACAAAGAATGCCTACATGGACAACAGTTTTGCTATGTTAACGGAATCATTATAAATACACTACATTAAATTTTGTTGATACCCTTTGGATTAAAACTTGTCAAACAACTCAGTAAATGAGCTTGCAGATGAAGGACATTTGATTGTGTTAAAGCATTGCATTTGTGACTTTCTTAAAGCTAAGTTTGTTTATTCAATTGAGCTATGGGACATCATTGGTCAAGATTCAAACGTGTGGAAATGATGAAGTGCCAAAATCTTCTTTGAGGACATTGGAAAGCTTGTAATTCACAACTTAACACCATCATCTGCATGCATAGACTATGACAGGTAAATATGTTTTCTACATTTTGAAACGGAATAAGTAACGAAAACTATAATTAAACATTTGAGCATTCTAACCTTTGGAAGAAGAACTTTTTTCTTCGTCGAGTGGAGTTTCAGACGAAGGAGAGGTTGGCGTTTGGTTGACATATTCCCTGGCATCAATCAACATTGCAATAACCTCTCTCATTGTAGGCCGATTAAGTGGAGAAGTACTTGTGCAAAACAGCGCAATTTTGAGAATAAGAGACATTTCTTCAACGGTTCTTTGTTCATCCAGATTTAATCTCTTGTCGAATAATTCAGATGTAGGTGTGGATGCTTGAATTGATCTTCTCACCCAATTCACTAAATCACCGCCTTGTTCCAATGGTTGAACCGGTGACCTCCCAGTAACTAGTTCCAGCAAAACTACCCCAAAACTATATATGTCACATTTTTCAGTCACCTTCATGGTGTAAGCATATTCTGAAAATATATATAAATCGAGCAAGAATTAGAAAATCACAACGATTAAAATGACTCGGATCATTGTTCTGCATTGCAATCACAGCTGCCCTTACAACCTTGATATAGTGGAAAGATGCAGGCAATGCGACCACAAGTTGTTGCGATGCTTTGCAATTGCAAGTAGACACATAGGCACAAACAACTGACCAAACTAAGTGATCAATTTTTTTTTCTTTATATGCATTTTTCGTATCAGTTTTCTTTTGAACTAGGTTGTTGTTCTTACAATAATCTTTCTTCTGATACTATCTCTTACTAAGTTTTCTATTAAGCTATTTTCTTTTCAGCTCATTTTATAAAAATCAACATAAGAAAGTAAATTATAACCAAAGATAAAAAATGAGACTTAGTTATTATAACAAGTAAAACTATAATTGTTGTAGTACCTTTGTACTGAACTTATTCATACCTGGGGCAATGTATCCATATGATCCAGCCACAGCAGACATAGATTTGGAGAATGAAAAATCAATCAATTTTGCCAATCCAAAGTCTCCAACGTGAGCCTGAAAGCTTTGATCAAGCAAAATGTTGTTTGACTTAATATCGCGATGAATGATTTGAGGTTTACAATCATAGTGAAGATAGCATAAACCTTCTGCTGCTCCTAGAGCAATTTTATATCTAACATTCCAAGCCAATGAACATGATTTTGAACTTGAATGAAGTTTTTCTCCGAGGCTTCCATTTTCCATGTATTCATACAATAGAAGATTAGAATCCTCGTGAAAACAAAATCCATGCAGCTTCACAATGTTCCTGTGCCTAATCTTTCCAAGAGTTGAAATCTCTGCTATGAAGCTCCGGTCAACATTTCCTGCTTCTCCGCCACGTGCATTCAGCTTCTTGACAGCAATAACTTCACCATCATTCATAACAGCTTTGTAGACAGTTCCACAAGCTCCTCTTCCTATAACTTCGTCTTCTGAAAAATTTCCAGTAGCTTCCAAGAGATCATTGTAAGTGAAGCCTTCTTTTGGAAAGTAATAGCTATCATCTAGAACGTGAGGCTTTGTTTGTTCTTCAATTGAAACAAAAGAGTCGCTGCGGCGGCGCTTCATCATAGTCCAACATATACAAACAATGAAAATAAGAGAAACGAAACCAACCACACCAGAAACAATGCTCACTATCTTTTCCCTCGACAAACCGTCTTTCGTCGGCTTTTCACGATGAGATGAAGCTAGAGATGGATGACAATGATTAGTACCTACGCGGCACAAACCGTTGTTCCCAGCAAAATTGGTGAAATCCATCTTTCTAAATGTTGTTGTGTCTGGAACAGTTCCTATCAGCTTATTGTTAGATACATTGCATACTAAAAGACTAAGCAAGTCACCAATTGATGAAGGAATTTCCCCGACAAGTTGATTATCATTTAAGTAAAGTGATTCTAGCATTTGCAAGCTCCCTAAGCTATCAGGAATCGTATCAGAAAGATTGTTGTGACTCAAGTTAAGTGCTATCTGAAGAGCAGAAAGTCTTCCAAAATGAAAAGGGATCCTTCCTGAAAACCAATTTCCGCCGAGCTCCAAATCGGTTAGCCGAATAAGGTCTCCTAAAGTGCCTGGTATTTCTCCTAAGAGCATATTATCAGAAATTTTTAGCAGCTCCAAATTCACAAGATTTCCAATTGAATTTGGAAGCATACCAGTAAACTTGTTCCTGCTGAGATCAAGCCTCTGCAGCCTCGCACAGTTTCCTAACTCGTCTGGAATACTTCCACTGAAACGATTCGACGAAACATTGAATGTGACAAGTTGAGCCAGCTTTCCAATCTCGGATGGTAGATAACCAGAAAAATAGTTATCTGACAAGTGCAGCCTCTCTAAATTTTTAAGCTGACCAATTCCCGGGCTAATTGGTCCAGAGAACCGGTTCTGATGAAGCTCGAGTGCAGTAAGATTATGAAGTTCATACAATTCAACAGGCAAGCTTCCTGTCAAAAGATTATCCCCTAGCATTAACTGCACAAGCGACTTGCAAACTTTCAAGCTATAAGGAATATTACCAAAGAGCCTATTAGATCCAAGGCTAAGGAATTGAAGTTGCTGATATTCACAAAGATGAATCGGTATCATACCGACAAGATTATTTGAAGATATATCAAGAATAGTAAGGTTCCTAACAGCTCCAAGATGAGGTGGAATTACACCTTCAAGTTGATTATCAAATAGCTGCAAATCTTCCATGAGTTCCAGATTTTGAAACTCCAATGGAATTATACCTGTTAAGTTGTTCAACGACAAATCTAAATTTTTCAGCAGCCTCAAATTTCCAAGCTCTTTTGGAATATGACCTTGCAAATTGTTTTCAAATAAGTGAAGCAGGCTAAGATTAGATATTTGACCTAACTCTTTTGGAATGATACCAATCAAATGATTTTCAGATAGGTCAATCTCAATAGCATTAGTACAGTTTCCTAACTCAGCCGAAATTGTACCATTCAACTGGTTTGTGTACATGTACAATCTCTTCAACCGCAATAGCCTTCCAATATCTTTCGGGATACCACCAATCAATGAATTTTGATGCAAAGCAATTAATTCTAGGCTACTAATGTTTCCAATCTCAAGAGGAAGCTCACCGGAAAAAGAGTTTTGCCATAGAATCAAACTCGTAAGATTCTGAAGCTTTTGAAGCTCCTTTGGAATAGAACCTGTTAACTGATTCTGTGCTAACCCTAATGTCTCTAAGCTTTCACATTCACTGATCTCTGAAGGTAATTTTCCTGAGAGACCATTCAAACCCGCTCTTATAACTCTAAGCTTCTTCAACTTACTTATCGACGCAGGAATGCTTCCTGTTAAGTTGTTGCTATAAATCACTAGCTCTTCCAGTGATGTTAATTCACCAATATCTTCAGGAATTTCACCATACATATAATTTTCACAAAGGTAAAGCTTTCTAAGTGTTTTGATTTTCCAAACAAGGGTTAAAAATGCTCCATGAAACCTATTTGTACAAAGGTCTAAAACCTCGAGTTTATCACAGTTAACAAAAAAAGCTTCAGGAATTGAACCAGAGATAAAGTTTTTAGACACATTCAACTCAGTTAACCATGGAAGGTTACAGATTGTTGGAGACAAATTACCAGAGAGATTAAGGTTGTGAAGTGTAACAGACGTTACTATTGAATCAGTACAATACACACCAGTCCAACTGCATGGAGTTAAATCAGAAGAATTCCAGTTAACAAGATTATCATTTGAGTCTAAAAGAGAACTCTTGAACTTCAAAAGAATTGAAACCTCTTCATTGATTGAACTTACAAGGAATACTCCAAAGCTAAACAATAGAATCATATAAAAGTTAAAAAACACATTTTTTGAATGGAAACTTAAATCCAAAGCCATTTTCTCATAGGCAAATCAACAAACACATAAAGGGCTGGCTTAAAAATCAGAACCAAAAAACATAAAAAGTATGAACATGAGACAAAACAAAAGATACCGTGTTGTGAAAGGAAAGAGCTAGCTTGGTGGTGAGAAAAAACAACAGAACCAAATTGAGAAAAATAAAATGACCCTTTTGGTTAGCGAGAAAAATTAAATAGACCCATGAAAGCAATGAATACAAAAGAGAGAGATAAATAAGAGAGAGAAAGTAAAAGACATAACTTTGATAAATGAGAGCATGAAAAAGTGTAGATAAACCGTGAAACAATCACGATTATTGAGTCAACTCTATTTTAGTGTTAAACAACTTTACAGCAAAGTGGCATAAGCTAGGTACTGGTAATGTAAAACCACAACCATAATGTGTGGTTTCTTATGGTTCATGCACTGTTGCTATGATTTGTGTGTTTAACCGAAGGAGTTGAAAAAATGGTGTGTGGATTGAGAGAGAAAGAGAATAAGGACGTGTGGATTTGTTAGGATCATTACAATTCTCCGGCATTGTTGCTGAGCCTACCATTATGGGAATTTAGTTTCTGTTGAGTCAGAAGTGTAATCATTTATAACATGAATGTATGGAAGTTAGTGCCATAGTGCCTAATTACACCACAATTATCTACTTGTTTGATTTTTTTCCCACCGCCACTCATATTCAATCACTTGTTTTTCTTCTTCTACATGTTGGTCAATGTATACGGCTTATATCATGACATAAGGGTACTTAGGTGGAAGGTAAGGGATTTGTAACACAGGTGTTAGATGTTAGAATTGCATGAATTAAGTGTTTATTAGTATAATCAATCAAAGGTTTAATACAATTCCGGTTGTATATTCTTCTTTAGCCAGTTAAAAGTTAGTTGCAACATTACTTGTTTTTTTTAAGTGATGATTACTAATCTATATACTTGTATAAGTAATAGTTGGTATATAGCATATCAATGAAAAATTGGCATTATGATCCAACAAGTGTTCTGAACTAGGTCAGGACTTGTCCCTCAGCCGGGTAGGATCGACCCAATGATATGCTGATGAGGTCTAGCGAGGTCCAATTCCTCTCTGTCGGGCACGAGCCTCAACAAGACACCTACGTCGGGCAGGTGACTCTTTTGATGGGGAGGCTCACGCGCTTCCCCCACGTTCTCCACGTACTTCACCACGTGGGGACACGTCATCAGGCAACTATCCACTTCCGAAAGAGTTGGTCAGCTCATCTTCCGAAGATCACAGAGCATTTGATATAGGGCGAAGACCACATACTGGTCTTCACTACGCCACGTAAGTCCTAGCAGTTACTTGGGTTGGGCCTGGCAGTCTGACCCAATGCAATGTAATCGTTGACCCTGCGTTGGGGTATCTCTATAAATATCCTCTTTCACTAGAGGGTCAGATATCTTATTCTCTACACCTACTTTTCTGTATTTGCTCTCCCACTCTGATCATTTACTCACTTAACCATCGGAGTGCCTTGCAGGTGCACCCCCTTCTTTCTCCCTAACTCCAATGAAAGTTGCAATCCAACGACGCGTGGTAGGCCATTGATCCTTTCTGATCAGGTGAGATCAGTGACACCGTCTGTGGGGAAACTCAGCTTCCCCGTTCTTTTTTCTGTCTGAGCACAGAAGCTCAAAAACCAAAGCGAAATCAACCTTCAACTTCCATTCCAATCATGGCCAGCCCACGCAATAACAATGCCTCAGGGTCTGCCGTTGCCCCCTTGCCCAACGGGGACGGCCACGACCCCAACACAGTCGTCCACAACGAGGAAGGTGACCCCAGGGACGGGCGCACCGCCTCCCCCTTCTCAGAAGACGCGACATTCAACGACGTTCAACGCTTAGACAGTTCGGCTGTCTACCAGCCCATTCTGGCACCGAGGGGCGCCGACCCTACCGTCACGGCCCTATTCGCGGCGATCAATCAAACCAATCTGCTGATATTCAGGAAAAACGAACGGATAAGGATGCTCGAGAGGAAACAACTGTCGCGCTCTCCCCCGCGGAGACACTGTCGCCCGGTTTCTCCCAGCCCATCTCCTCCCCCACGGAGACATGGTTAACGACACTCTGTCAGCCTCTCTCCCCCTAGGAGACACCGTCGACAATATTTTGTCAACCTCTCTCCCACGCGGAGACACCTTCACCAGGCTTCCCTCAGTCCCTCGCCTCCTCCATGGCAGACACGGTACGTGGAGGATTCTAGGAGCCCATTGCCCCTACCAGCAGGGCGTCGTCCCCGTCTCAAGTGACCCCAACCAACAGTTTCGCACAAGAGGGACATGTCCCCTCCTCGAGAAGAGCGACGCTCCTCGGCTCCGAAGAAGAACAAAGAAGCTACATCCCCCTCCACACCGAGGGCCCAGCCGAATAGCCCACGTCGGCGAAGAAACCGCCTGGATTCGGTCTCCCCCTCGTCGTCGCCTGTCCGGAGAGACGAAGATACCCGACGTTCACCACTATGCAGAGCCATCAGGGAAGCACCGCTGCCTGTCGGGATGGAGAAACCCTAAATCTTGGCAACCTACGATGGGACGACCGACTCGGACGACCACATCGAAAGTATAGACGCGATGTTGGACTATAGAAACGTCCGGGGAGCTATCAAGTGCAGACTGTTCCCCACCATCTTAAGGAAATGGGCCATGGCGTGGTACAAGCGCCTTGCGCCCTACTCCATCTCCTCATGGGGCGAATTGAAGCGCCAGTTCTCCAGGCACTTCACAGTGTCCTGACGTCATCCGAAGACAGTGGCGGTCCTGGAAGCCATTTTTCAAGGAAAGAACGAACCTCTTAGAGACTACATTGAGAGGTTCAATTGTGAGGCCTCCAAGTATCCACGATGGACCACGTGAAGAAGTTCCTGATCCAGAGGGCATAAGGCCGCAATTCGATTTCGCGAAAGTTGTCGGCCTCTCACGCCCCCTTAATCTGAATGTCCTCTTCCACATGGCTCAGTCACACATCGAGTATGAGGAGATAGAGGCCGTAAACAACGCCCAAGATGGGCGCAACCACGAAGCTCCCAAAAGCGCGAGGCGTGAGGATACCCCGCCTGCTCCTTCTCGACGAAACGAGCAAAAAAGGCGCGAAGATCGCCCCCGAGAACAAAGGCGCCCAGCAGATCGGTTTACTGAGCACACGCTACTCACAGCTCCCCACGAGCGCCTCCTGGCTGAGTGTATTAATTCAGAGTTTCAACGAGGAGGTGTTCGGTTTCCAAAACCAACAGCCCCTAAGCCCAACGCGGACAAGCCCAAATACTGTCGGTTCCACTGAAGCCACAGACACGTGTCAGAAGATTGCATTCAACTCAAGGATGCAATCGAGATTTTAATCAAAGAGGGGCATTTGAAACAGTACACCAAAATAGGATAAGCCCTCCAGCCTGAGACCCGCGAGGCGAAGAAGGTCGAAGAGGCGTCAATTCCATCCAAAGAAGTAGGACTGCAAGTGGCCCTATGCGTCTCTCGACCAAATAACTTCTCTTTCAGCGAGCCCGCCAGACCACTGACCACTCTTAGCCCGTGGGAGGAATTCCCAGCCACAATGGTAATATCGGGTGGGGGACTCAGTCAGTTATCGATCGGGTCCGTCAAGAGAAAATTCGAGGAGCTCATCGACAAGAGCTTAAAGATGAACGCTACCCTCGACAAATTCGAAGGGCAGTCGAACCCGACCACCTTTTATCTCGAGGAGCTTCCCAGAGGGGCACCCAACGCCAGCATTCCCCTCCTGATCAAAGTGCAGATGGAAAATTTCGACGTCTGTCGAATCCTGGTCGACCAAGGAAGTTCGGTGGATATCATGTACGCCCATCTATTCACCACCCTACAGCTAGACGAGAGCCATCTGACCTCGTACGTAGGCTCCGACTTCCAGAGCTTCAAAGGCACGACCACCAAGCCTTGGGGATATGAGGAGCTACCCGTCACCTTCGGGGTGGAGGAAACGTCCAGACTGGTGAAAGTCCACTTTTTGGTGATCGAGTGTCCTTCGTTGTATCAATGCATCCTGGGACGACCAACTTTAGCCGAGCTGACCGCAGTACCATCGACAGTCCACCTGAAGATGAAGTACTACACCACCAGAGGGCGGGTCGTCACCCTCCACGGAGACATTGAAGCAGCCAGAAGATGCTTCGAGGCAGCACTCAAAGGACTCAGCTCCATCAACGTCACCCCCAAACTTGCCAACCGTCCAGCTCGAACTAAGGAACCAAAGCCCCTTCCGTACGTCAACTCCGTTGACCTCGACAGTCGTTTCTCCGGCAGACAGGGACAAGGCAAAGATCCCAAAGACGTGCCTCCAGAAGACAAGGGGAAGCTCCCCCATCCAACACGCCCCATCCCGGATGGAGACTTCGAGCTCATCAGGCTAGGAGACAAACTCGAGCGAGGCGTGAAGATTGGCAAAGGCCTGCCCGACCTAGCAAGGAAACAACTCAAAGCCTACCTCCGGGAGAATGAGGACCTCTTTGCATGGAGTGTTGCCAAGATGTCGGGGCTTCAGCCCGACTTATCATGCCACTACCTCTCCATAGATTCAGGCGCTAGGGCCATAGTCCAACGTAGGCGTAGGAAGTTCCCCGAGAAAGCTGTAAAAGACCTCCTAGAAGCATATTTTATTTTGGAAGCCCGGTACACAACCTGGATGTCCAACGTTGTACTTGTTAAAAAATCTAATGGAAAATGGAGAATGTGTGTTAATTACACTAATCTCAACCGGGCGTATCCCAATGACGCTTACCCGTTGCCTAACATCGACAAACTCGTCGACAATTCTGCAGGTTCTAAACTCCTGTCGTTCATGGACGTGTACTCGGGATACAATCAAATTCCCATGGCGAAGTCTGATAAGCATCATATGACTTTCATGACCGAGTCAAGCAACTACTACTACAACGTAATGCCTTTCATCCTGAAGAACGTCGGGGCGATCTATCAAAGGATGATGAAAAAATTC